AAAACCAAAGGTGGTTAATCAGCACGAAGGTTGCCCAAAAAATCTGGTAAGCAAGGCGAGCCGCTCGACCGACAAATTCATGACCAACAGAATTACATCAAGATACATCAGAGATACCAAGTAATTCCAAGAGGTTGACTTTTTGAATCGCTGATTTGAATAGCTTTGAGCTGTTCAATACCAGAAAATGCGGTGGGAGAGACTCCAGCCATTTAGTTGTGCGAATGATGAAGCAGTTCGCTCTCAACGTGCGATGTCACTTGCCCATTCTATGATTGAAGGTGTAAAACGGTCCTCTACGTCCATGCGTTGATCGAAAAGTCCAATATCTGGATGGCTTTATGCGTAGCTCACACTTGAGAATCTTAAAAGCCAAAATCAAATCATACTGCACTCGTCTATAGAACAAGCTCTTAAAATTCAGCCTCTTAAGCCTAGATTGGTATGGCGGCGGTGCTTGTGGATAATTATTGTCGGGAAAAGCCCTGTGAAACAATATTCTCGTAAATACTTTCTGAACGTTCTCAATTTTTTGGACATCCTTGACCAAAGAGGGGCTCCACACTGAGCTGCAATACTCAACTACAGGGAGAATATAGGTCTTATAGAGCTTTATCCACAAAGCAACGTCCGAACTATGGATGTTACGGAACAAAATATGCATTACCTTTAGAGCTTTACGTGAGACAGCGTCAATATGTAGAGCCCATTTCATATCTCTAGAAAGATTAACACCTAAATCATTAACATGTTGATGTCGCTGTATGGGGATGCTGTCCAAGAAGTGTATTTCTAGGGAAGAGGATCCTATTGAAAATAAATGGGTCTTCGTGGGATTGATCTTCAACCCCCAATGATTGCACCATTGAAGCATGTTGTTGACAGAAGTATTCAGGAGTCTTTCAGCATGATCCTGTTCTCTGTCTTCATATGCAACCGAGACTTTAATGTCATCAGCGTATGCTGCAACATTAAGTCTGCTGTCGCATTTAACGCAATTAAGAAGATCGCTGGTATAAATAAGAAATAGGAGAGGTGAGAGAGTTCCGCCTTGAGGGACTCCCGATGGACAATCTCTCACAGTAGAAATGTAGTCAGAGAACCGCACACTCATTTTCCAGTCAGTAAGGTACGAGCTAAACCATCTCAAGACATCACCTCGAACACCGACGCTCTCAAGCCTGGCCAAAAGGCTAGTTCGGCACACTGTGTCAAAAGCTTTGCTTAAATCAAAATAGACCACATCTACCTTTTTACCGAGATTGAGAGCCTCTATCCACTTATGTGTGCAATCGATCAGTTGGGTGCATGTAGAAGCACCTGGTAGGAAACCGAACTGTTCGAGGGGGATGAATTGTAATTTAATCACCCAATCCAGCAGATTCTCATTTACGATTTTTTCCATCACTTTAAGTGGTGTGGGGAGAATACTTATAGGCCTAAAATTGATTAACGAGTTGGATTCGCTTTTCTTGGGAATGGGCGTCACTATTGATGAGGATTATGATAGAGGAGGATGCGCGAAAAAGTGATGGTGGCTCTGCGTTAGCGCTGCAATGGCTTGTCCAAGGTCTTCTCTTAGCTCTTCTTTTTAAACTTAGGAGTTGTCGACGGGCCGGGCTGAGCACTGTCAAGGGCCGACATTGGCACCAAGCTCCTGATGGCTCTGGCTATAGCCACCTGCAACGGCTGCGCTCCTGCCTGCTGCTGCTGTGCTGGGGATGGAATAGCCAGTTGATCTGGTGATGTAAGAGCCGGTTGCGTTGGCAGCGAGCTCGCCTGTGGAGGGGCAGTTAGCTGTCCTGATTGGTCAGACGCCCTAGCTAAGAACTCTTCAAAGTTGGCCCTAAAAGGGGTGACCTGTGCGCTAAGCTGCGCTTAATTGTTTTCTCCGATGCCATCTTAATGAAGACTAGTCAGGTAGGCTATACGTGTATTAGAAGATATAACTGACTTGGGTTATAACGAGGTGTGATAACCAGTGATGAATACCAGAAAGAAACACAACACGTCTTATCCGAGCCTGTCTCAGTGATTACCTAAAAGAGGAAAGCTTACTGTACGGTCTAATATGGCTTTATGGCCTTTACACTGCAAAGAAGACACCTCGTGACAATTGCTTTTCAAAAGATACGTCACGTGATAGATGGTTAAATGAATCAGATACTGTATCTGATAAAACACAATGACACCGCCACCGCTCCTAGGGCCGAAGGAACTGTCCTTCCAATGAAAACAGCTCACGTTAGAGTTTTTTTTTCTGGATAGTAAATGCTAGCAGTGAAGTGACTTGATACACTCGATGCACAATAACAACGTCGTGAGCGAAGTATGAAATAGCT